GCAAAGCTCCCAGCCCCAAACTGGTAGCAATGGGGGCTGCTGCCCCAGGTAGGGGCACCCCCCGACGCTGCTGCCTGTCTGCCAGCGCTGCCACCCCCCCGCCCCAAATCCTGGATGCCCCAAAGCCGCAGGAGCCAGGAGAGCCTGTGGGTTGCCTGGGCAACCACAGCCAGGCAGTGATGGGGAGCGGTCCAGGGGAGCGGTTGCCATGGAGACCGGAAGAGCACGATCGCCTTGGCAACAGTCTTGTTCCCTGCCCCCTCTCCTTCAGGGCTGTATCCTGAGGAGGTGCGCCCTGGCCAGGGGTCCCTTGCCCACTGCCCCCATCAGTGTGCACCCAGGCCGTCTCCCTGGATGGGAAGGGAGACAGCGGTGCCCCCCACACCCCTCTGGGTGCTGGTGCACCCCCCTGGCTTCACAGCACAAAGGAAGAGGCAAGGCCGAACTCAGCTCCTTGGCTTTATCACTCCACACATCACCACAAAGCTGCTGCCCCACCTGGTCCTGAAGGGTGGGCGAGCTGGGCATAGCGGGGGACTGGAGGTGAGAGCAGGCTCCAGGATGCCCCAGGGCTGTCCTCCTGCTCCAGGGACCCTGTGGAGAGGGATGGAGGGACACTGTTCCCCTCCCTGGGTGGCAGAGCAGCTGAAGGGATGTACTTCATCCCTGGGTGCCCCTGCACAGTCTAAGCAGTGGCTGTAGGCACACAAACTGGGGGGAAGGGGACAGGGGGACAATGGTGGCACCAAGGTGTGCTACTGTGGTGGCTCAGGGGTCTCTGCCACCCCACTGTGCCCTATGTGTCCTGTCAGCCCTAGTCTTGCCCCTGTCATCCTCCCCACAGGGAAAGCCATGCTCCAGAAAAGCCAAACAAGGCAAAAGTCTCACATGGTTTTGGGTGGGAGTCGGGGCTTTTAGAGGGGCACAGGTCAAATGGGCACTTGCAGAGGAACATCCTGGTGTGGGGCCAGAGACTCAGCTCCTTGGCTCAGGCACTGAGCACACTTCCCCCAAGTCTTCATATCTGGGGAAGCATGGGGTCCCTCTGGCAAAGAGAGGATGAGGAGGTTATAATTCCCCCACTCTTCAAAACAGGCAGGGGGAGCACACCAGGACCCTTCCCTCCCAACGGGAATCGCTCAACTGCATGCGAGGAGACAGCTGAGATTTCTGCAGGCTCTGGGCTTGGCTTGGTTCACATTGCACCCTCCTGGGCACCCTCTCCGGGCGCTCTCAGGCCTGGTAGAGGGGCACCACG